CTTTTAGTATTTAAATGTTCCTATCATTTCCCCCTGTCTCGTCTTTCCTCCAATCTATACATGTTAAGTTAATTTAACCTTTCCTTGTAAATTTTATCCTGCAATCCATGAACCAAGACTGAAGCTTTCCTGTGCTTAAATTTGCTCATCTTTCATGAGGAAGAAGATACAGTATAAAAATCTCACCTCTTAGAGTTAATTGAGACGCTGGGATACAACAAATTTTTTTTAAAGTAATTGTTAATGACACACTAAGAAAGAATTTATAACAATAGACATCAATGCCTGCATCTTCCTTTAGACTTCCTGTCTCACATTTCCTCTGACATAGGTCAAAAAGCCCTCACACGGTAGTTATCAACATGTGCCAACAATTTTTTACGTTACTGGAAAGATGGATAACCTTTAATGAAATAATAGCATGGTCTTCTTGTCTGCCACTGATCGCTGCTTGAAGTTTCGCCAAGTTACCATGAACATATTGTTATTCTCTCGCTAGACCAATAGCATCAAAATTGTATAACCTTTTGAGGTTACTTACCCAGCAAATTGTATTGTTGGTTTCACAGCCATGAATACATAGATTTTTAACTTTTAACGCAGTGTCCCACAAAGACTGCAGATATCGAGAACTTTGTGATCCAAGTTTCCTGCAAGCCATGTCCAATGTCTGTGAATTTTAGTTCTTCAAGAGCTAAGGTGGTACAAGTTGACTAGTTTGATGCATAGTTCAATAGCCAGAACGCCACAACCTGTCCTTCCCCAAAAATGTGTCCCATCATTTGTAAACGCTCTCAGTGTCAACACATTAACAGAACACCTCCTGACAAACCACTAATTATGCACTAAGACTCTCAAGGACTTGTTTTAAATCGGGCTCTCAAGCTAAGAATGCTTGGCTCTATGTAATATGTATTGTCGCATTATTGATTTCGTAGGTTTTGCCTATAAATAAATTCATTTTTGTATGTCATAAAAAGGCACGACAACATCACTGCAAATAGTGGGAAAAGTATATCACGGGGCAGGGTTGTAAAAGTATATCAAACATTCGGAGATAACACCACTTTTGGAATACTGTCCCAAATTAGTTCATAATACATAACCCCAATGTGTTCCGGGATTTGTTAGCCTTCCACTATTTTTTATTTTTTTTATTGTAGCACTTTTTTCTTCACTTTTTCCTCTTAAGTCTCATTTGTGAATTACTACGGTCTTTCAGTCACCTTTACCTGCGTGCAAATAGGTCACAACACCTGATGACAGCAAAAACAAGTTTGCAGAACGATGCATGTATCATCTGAAATAATTGTGTCATTGTTTGGTGAATATTACATTCAAATAGCCCAAATAACCCCTTGCTCATACATTTGTATTTCCTCCCCATTAGTCATAAATACTATAGTAAGTCTTGGGTGTGGGGAGCTAAAAATATTAACTGAGCAAGGTGAGGAAGCACCTTGCAGCACAATCTGACACAAAGTATTTGGCAAAAGGTCTTGGTGCAGACCACAGAAGTTTAGCCGGTAACTCCTGATTTGACTAATTGAGATCTTTATCCTAAAATGTCTAGATGCTATGGGGAGATGCAAATCTGCTTGTTGATCAGGAAATTTTACTAAAATACCTGTGTATTTTACTCATGCATTTCTCTGCATACATAATGTATGTCTTGTTGATAGGGGTACTGAAACTGAAAAAGAGGATGTAAGTCGCTGTATTGAAAATGGGTTTTTCCGGGACTCTCCATGGCCGTAAGAATTTGAGAGGTGTTAAAAAAAATAAAAAAATTCTAAATTGGAACTGGTGCAAAAGAATGTTCATTTTCTGTTTATCTACAAATCCCATCATGCACACTGACATCCTTAACAGAAATGTTTAACATTTAGGGAAACACGGTTTTCATGAGCACTTTTCTTGTACACCACACGCATGCTTAGGATGTGTTATTTAATTTTTTTTTTCTTATATGGTAATTTTAAGGGCACACCAAGGGCTAGGCCCCCTCAAGCACACCTACTATGTTGTGCTGAGAGTCCCATGATCCTTAGCCGACCAAAGTGGATGGTTATGAATAATGGGAATATAAATTTCGACAACCGATACATCCATCTGACCCATCTAGTCTGTTTGTTGCCTAAAAAAGAGTTGTATTCTAGATTTGGTTAAGTGCACCTGGACATCAGTGTTGTCAATCTCAAGATTTCATGAACAATGTTTTAGTTTCTACCACCTCTGCTGACAGGATATTCCATGTTTTTCAAACAACGTCTGTTTTTCCCTATTTTTGCCCATTCCCTGCTTCCAAATCCAGGCCACACTGTCTTAATCCAGCTAATTTCTTTCTGTATAAAAGTTCATACTCTACAGCTTTTCTAATCCTTTCATATTTGTAATGTGCTATCTTGTTATCCTTATCCCTTCTTCTGTAAGCTGTACATATTGAGGGGTCTCACTCTATCTGGGTATGTCTTTTTGTGTAGACAATGCACTAGTAGAATTGTATTATCTCCAGCATTTCGGTGTTTGTGAAGATTATATTTCCAGAACTGCCCACACAATTCTTATCAGGTCCATTAAATGATGAGTAACAGGGCATCAACATCTCAATGCATTTCTTTTAAAATAGACCCAGGCATTTTAAAAAAAAGGTTACTAGGGTATGATGGGATTTACAGAACTTGGTGGGAGTTTCAAAAAGTTGCTCATCCATATACTTATCCATATGTCTTAAAATAGTAATTCAGTCAGTCAATATAACACATTCTCATTTTCTTTCTATTCCCTTCTGTGCAAACATTATTACCACGTGTCATCTTGTCAGTCAAGGTTTAGAACCAGAATCTATTAAACATGAAGTCCACTTACACTCTTGATATCTTAGACAGGAAGAATTCCTATATTTAGCTGGTGAATTCACGATGTTAGAGGCATCTTTGAGTTTTCTTCAGTTGACTCCATGAAATGAAATGGGGACACACCATGGTAAGACTCATTACAGGTGTGCTTCCCTCACATTTCGTAAAGTTTCCGAAATAAGCAGAAATTAATTCGTTGTCTTGACCCTGCGAGGTCTGAGTTTGCAAAGTGGCCTATTTTATAAAACCACCAATACTATTGTAGTTATTTATTTATCATGAGCAACTGAGGGACAGATGTCTACAAGTAGAATAACCACTTATTCCACTGGTTACATTATTTATGTGCAAATGATGTGATGTTCCAAAACGTGATACTACATTTCAATTGGCACAGTTTTGGATTTGGATTTTTGACATTCTAATTGTAACATGTTTTTGGTTTTTGAATTATCTGATGTGACTCTGAAAACAAAAAGCATCCTGCATTCTTCTTGAATTTCAGAAGCCATGATTACCAGTTGTGTTGTTGTTAAAAATCTCAGTGCTACACACAACAATAATCTGTATGTCTTTAACAGGGCCTCATTATTAGATTCAAATTTTCAACTTTAACATCCGGCAAAATATTGTGTTTGCATTGCTCAGTTACTGCAAATAATTCCCAGTACAAATAGCAATTTGCAATTTCCAGTAAGTGTCTGATGTAACAACAGTGAGATACTACAGTGGCAAAGATATAGTTTGCCAACAACGGTGTGCATGTCGTCATCATTCAGCACATGTATGTTTAGTCACCAAACTAAAAAAGTAAATTTTTATGCTTTGGTCCTAAATTTTAAATGTACTTTTAATTCTCATTTTAGTAAATAACCCTTATACCATTTAATTGCAATTACATCAGTGACCGATTAAAGATTGCAAAACAAAGGAATTGTAGAAATATGCCTTTCCAACTTAAATTGGCTTCTGTTGTGAATTGATAATATAACGGAGTATAATGTGTTACCTACTCTGATTATCTTAGTTATAGGACCACCATAATGCCAGGGAAAACAAACATGTTTTCCTGGCACTATAGGGTTATTAGGTCTCCCTCCCACTGGGCTGAAGGGGTTAGTTAAAACCCCTTCAGCCACTTGCCTTTTTCCAGCGCCAGGCTCCCTCAGCGCTGGGGAAATCTCCACCTCCTGCCGACGTCATCGGCACGTGTCCATTCAAACAGCCCATAGGAAAGCATTACTCAATGCTTTCCTATGGATGTCAGCATCATCTCAATGTGATTTTCACAGTGAGAATCGCGAAAGCGGCCTCTAGTGGCTGTCAGCGAGACAGCCACTAGAGGCTGGATTAACCCTCAATGAAAACATAGCAGTTTTTTCTAAAACTGCTATGTTTTCAGCTGCAGGGTTAAAACTAGAGGGACCTGGCACCCAGACCCTTTCATTGAGCTGAAGTGGTCTGGGTGCCTATAGTAGTCCTTTAATATGCAACAAAAGAGTTAGGGTGATACCAATAAGGATGCGACTTTAATGAGGACACTGATGTTATCCTACAAAATTAATTTCCAGAAGATGATTGACTACCAACGCATAGCATAGAAGATATAATTCTGCAAAAACATTGTTTTTATAAACCAATCGTATAACTCTATTTAGTTTAGTTTTGACTAGTGTCACACTTTTAAGTATTAGCCTAGTTTTATTTTTGCATAATAAATTAGCCACATGGCTTCACTGTTCAATAATAAAATATATTTTAAACCATTTGTTATGTCTGCGTGAATCATCCTAGGACTTCTGAAATCCACTGGTTTTTTTTATTTTTTGTAAATAGCATGGAAATAATTAACTTGGCTATTGATGTTCTTTACAATAAGGCATGGCCTCATTTTTAATGAATAACCACCTACTTTACTAATCACATACATAGTGATGTTACATTCCACAGCACTAGTTTATACTGGGTAAATGTTATAACAAACTTACTGTAAAAGACAAAATATGTTACAATGTTTTGAGACCCCTGACCGCTATATAATATATAGTGGTTGTGTGTGTATGTATGTGTATGTGTATGTATATGTATGTATATATATGAAGGCATGGGGAATGTGAGATACAAATGCATAGCACTGAATACATGGGTTATGAGACGATAATGGACCTATGAGTATTAGTGGCAGAATGTGTGAACCTTTTTAGATGGGATTTTTAGGGAGTGTTTCAGAATTTTATGTGGTAGCGAGTTCTAAAAAAAATTGAGCAACTCTGGCAAATGAGAAGACTGAATGAAAGCAGAGATGTAAGATGGAGCAGAATAGTGTTTTGTATTTAAAGAAACACCATGGTGTCAGGAATACAAACATGCATTCTTGACACATATAGTCTTGATATGGCACTTGGCTCTGAAAAGGTGATTTCACCCACCTTTTCATATACGTTGCACTGATATGAGATCATCAAAAGAAATTTGGAGGCTATTGTGCATGTGCGACAAGACACAGCACTGCACCATTCAGCATCTCCTTATAGAGATGTATTGAATCAATGCATATCTATGAGGAACGTTCACTGTTTCCATGCAGAGCATGTAGATGCTGAACTGTGCAGCACTGGACGAGGAAGCATCTCTAGTGGCTGTCTGAGTAACTGGCGATAGCAATGTAAACAGTGCCATTTCTCTGAGAAGACAGCGTTTACATTGAAAAATCGCAGGGACAGGCTATACACACTAGAACAAATTCATTAAGCTGTAGTGGTTCTGGTGGTTATAGTGTCCCTTTAAGTCCAAGATAACAAGTTTAAATGTTTTTTTTAAGATGGAAAATCTGTAACATAAATTCCTGACCGCAAACAAAGTATGGATTGGGTTTGAGTAATTAAGCTCCTCTGATCAGGGTCTTCATCAACCCGTTATTCCTGTTACATTTTTCATAATACTGTTAACCACTGTGGAATATGTTGGTACTGTATAAATGCTAATAATAAAAATAATTGAACACTAGAGCCAACCAGACCACTTCATCTCAATGAAGTGGCCTGGGTGCCAAGTTCTCCCCGTTTCAACCCTGCAGCTGACAAGATTACTGTTCCTGTTCAACAGTAACAACAATGTTTTCATTGCTGGGTAAACCTGCCTCTAGTGACTGTCATACTGATCATGTAAAGATCATCTGATTGGCACAGCATGGCTTTTTGCTGCGCATGTGCACTAGTCTCCCAATACTTTTATATAAGAAAGCATTGAATAGGCTGAGATCAGGGATCTCTGTGATCTCAGCCAGAGACCAGTGATGTGAATTAAAGTAAGTAAACTCACTTCTTTAACCCTGACATTGTGGGTCCGATCACCTAAACGGTGATTAGGACACTATTGTGTTAGGACTACGTATTTGTATTCCCAACGCTATAGAGTTTCTCTAAGGACAGTAGTATTCAAGGCAGGCGAGAATAAGGGAGTGACACGTAGTTTATCTTCAGTATCGAAAAAATATAGATAGAGATGCCTGTGCTACACTTTCTAATATATTCTCTCCTCTTTCTACATTCTTAATCCAAATTCTCAAAAACTCATACAGAGCCGGAGAATAATTTTATTAAACCTAAACTTACTAAACCTTCTTTGCTACACCCTGTGAATTTTCTAAGCTGATTTGTCAACAGTTGGTAATCATTATACATTCTTCCCTTTTCTTTTTTTTTTTTTTTCTTCTGTTAAAGTAGAGCTTCCAAATTCACTCTCATAATACTGCCCATTCACAATTCTCCATTCAGATCCACCAGGCAGGTCACATCCTTTGACACAAAGAGTTTGTTTGTCTGTCATAAGCAAGGCTACGGGATTTTTTTTTTCTCCTAAGAGTGGAAGCAAGCAAACTTTTAAAAGGGTAACAAAAATAATCTCTTTATTTTTTTAGTTTTTGAGAGAGTATAAATATTTTAAGTGTTCGATAAAAGTTTAGAATTCCTCAGGGTTATTAAGCTGGCTGTGGTTGCACAATCGGTCTGTTGAAAGATGAGATTAGAGCTGTATTAGAAGTTTGACACAGTGTATTGACTTGCAGAGATGTGGGGGTAGGGTCTCTAATAAGACCCCCGAGGCAGCGAAAATTAACCTTGGTACTGCAGTTGCTTTGTAAGCTACCTTTTTTCCAGCTTAAGGCTAGCTGCAGATCATGGGGAAATGTAATTTGCAAACTTTTTTTTTCTTTTTCTGCTTTCATTTCCCTAAGGCCTTGGGTAGCAATACGATCTAGCAATGGGAAAATGACAAGCTGATTTTCTTGTTAACATATGGGGATTCTTCAGAGTTTGCACTCTTTATTTTTCAGCAAATTCTGCCAAATTAATTTAGATCAATTCACATAATTTGGAATACTTAGAAACCAGAGTCATCTGAATGTACCTTTCCTGGTTAAATGCTTTGTTATTATTATTATTGTTTGTTATATGATGTTCTAACATGATATGTTATATTAAAGAATCACTGTAGGGTCAGGAATACAAACCATCTAGCCCCTCCGGGGCTGTCTATATTGTATTCAAGCCTGAAGTTGTAATTCTACTTGTTTTTCTGAGTCTAACAGCATGCAGTATGCTGACATCATCAGAAGTGGTGGCCTGATCCAATCACAGTGCTTCCCCATAGGATTGGCTGAGACTGACAACGAGGCAGATCAGGGGCAGAGCCAGCATGATTCAAACATAGCCCTGGCCAATCAGCATCTCCTCATAGAGATGAATTAAATTAGTGAATCTCTATGAGGAAAGTTCAGTGTCTGCATTCAGAGGGAGGAGACACTGAATGTTTGGATGCATTTTAGGCAGCCATGACCCAGGAAGGATCTCTCTGAGTGGCCAGTGAAGTTATCCCTAGGCTGTAATGTAAACACTGTGTTTACAGCAAAAAGCCTGAAGGTAATGATTCTGCTAACCAGAACAAATTAAATAAGATATAGTTGTTCTGGTGACTATAGTGTCCCTTTAACATTATTATTATTTTGGCTGTTAAATATCCTGAGGTTCACTGTATTCTCCATTGGCCAAGTAGAAACCACAATATACTAAATGGGTCGTTCTATTTTCAAATGGACCTCATGGCAGCGAGATTTGATAAAAAAAAATAGCTCCAGCTGAACACTAATTGAATAGGAATAAAATCTTCCTGATTTAAAAAAAAAAAAAAAAAAACCTACGTAAAGTTAGAGTAGGGTTAGACAAGATAATAATGTTACAGTGTGGTTATACGGAGGGATGGAATTGATTTTAGGATAGAACAATTTACGAGGTCATTGGGGTAGCATTAAAATGACCATAGGCTTATGGGTGCAATCCCCGCAGTCTGTATCAATGTATCTGGTTTTAGCAATGCAATTTAGTAACCACACATTGAGATCCTGCCAAGATATTTAGAAAGTCAGCTGATTTTAACTGAAGGAGAGCTGAATTGTAGTGCAAATACAACTGAAACAACTAAATTTGCTTTTGACTATAGCCATATTGGTTTAGAAAGTGTCGTTTGAAACAGTGGAATTTGATAACAGAATATAGCATTCGGCTACTTTTCAATGCTTGGTGGATAGCTGTGTTTGCATTGAATGTGCAAATGTGTTTACATCCGCTATTTAGAATATCTTTACATTTCCATTTAAAAATATTCTGCTTACACCCTTTTTATCACTCATTTTTTAATACATGTTTTACTGAAGTAGTCAGACATTGTCAGAGGTGAAGTTAGGATAGAATATCAAGGAGTTACTAATGAGGAGGAAGCAGTTTTAAAACACAACAGGAAGTAAAGTGTGCGCAGCATAAAAACTTCCCCTTGTCTACGTTAAATCTTTCCATGCAAATTAAAGTATCCCAATTATGTAACCATGTCATATTACTATTTCTTGCAGACTGTGAATGCTACTAAAGATTTTTATATAGAAGAAAACCTCTTATTCATGACTTTTATGTAATTCAGTTAATGTTTGGGGAGGGCTGTTTTGTTGTATTGCTTGGACTCTTGGTCCAATACATTTTCTAAACTCACAAATGTATGCATCAATTTCTCTTGCGTTATCAGAACTGTCGTTTAATGTTCCACTTTCTTGTAAACCAGCAACTAAGAGAAGTTATGCAAATAATATTTAAATAGCCAGTGAGTGAACTCAGCGAGGAGTGTGACTTTGAGGAGAATAAATTGAGTGCAAATGTGCACCACTCCCAGTGCATTTACTATGATTGCTGGGTTCAGCCCTGCAACACATATATTAATAATTAAAAATGTGTATCTTTATGCACCTGAATTACATAAGTCACTTTTCCCAGAATCCTTTAGGTTTAGTTCCGGCTATTATTTCAGAATGTACACATAGCCAGTATTCTCACATCCCTTGCAATCTGTCATCTTGGGGGTTGTTCTCCATCAATTTATATGAGCCTTAACCAGCTAAATGGAATGCTACCTTTTTATTATATACTTATTACTACGGTATATTTGCAGTTTGGTGTTTACTTACTAAATATGCTTAGTGGTAAATGTTTTGTCATTTGTTTATTTTGGCCTAAAAACTACAATTGTAGCCAAATTCTGTATATTTATGTTAACATTCAGTTGATATACTACTACTACACTATCAAACACGTCTACATTCCACGCCATTGTTTGCAATAGCAGTATGCAATGCAGAACAGCAACCATTTCAATTTCGATCTCTACACAAGTGCTAACACGAAGAAAGCTTAATGGAAAAATCGCTCTGTTTTGGAACTTTTTGTTAGCATAAATGTATTTTTCTGTCGTTTACCTGAGGTGAACCTAAGCTTAGTTGTAAGTGCATAGAAATGGAACAGGGAGCCATTTTAGCCATTGTCCTGTGCAGACCTACCTCATTGGCCTCTCTAGGATAATGGCCATTGACCTTAATTATTTGTTATGAACCCACAGCTTGGGGTTGTAGTGGTTTAAAAATAGACTTTATTTTTTATAGAAAGTCCAGCTAAAACATTCAAAGACAAAAAAACTGTTTAATGACTTTTAAAATCTATTATTTCACAGCTGTAGTTGCTAGAATCAATACATTTTAATAAATAAATTTACTTTCTTTTGTCAGTGGTAAAATTTACCCGATCAAAACTTGTAAGTTTTACAAATATTAAATAATTAAGCAAGTTTTTGTATCCGGTTTGTTTAGCATCCTGTATTTTGCCAGTCATTTTTTTTTTGTGTGTGCCACCCACACCCTTTAGCTCATTTCCTCAGTTCCAAAAAGTTTTTTTTTTGTTTTTTTTAAATAACTAAAATAAAACACACTTTGACATTCTGTCTGCTTTTAAAATGAGCCATGTTCTTAAATATCTTCGCTGTTTCCAATACGCCCATGAACATACTTTCCAGGTGCGGCTTTTCAAAATAATCATGAAGCAAGTACTTTGATGGAAACATTAAACTTGGTACATTTTTAAATGGTGGGTGAACAACCTAGATGGCTGACCTGTTATATTACACAGAGATAAACTGTACTGTCTCTAAGGACATTGACTTCCTTCACAAAGCTTGTTTAATGGGTGGAGATCACAAACTGCATAGGTTGCTTCTAGTTATATAAACAATCTCTTTTAGGTAACAGAAATATATTAACTAGATGCTCTATTTTTTATTTTTTTTGTAGTTTTACTTTGTTTAAGTGATACTGTTGTCGGTTTTGTTTTTTGTTTTTTCTTAAGTGTTATTTGTAGTCAAACACTGTATGTTCTCTGAATTTTTTAGCACGTTCTCCTATTAAAACCCAGTTATTTCTACATCGTAAGATGGCACTTTTAAAAGTGTAAACTACAACACTATTTGTTAAATGTTATAGATTGACTATAGACCCCTTAGTAGATATCTCATTATTTCAGGCTAGAATTGATCCACACTTTTAATGGCTATATAGATTATGCATGAAAAAATAAATTAAGAAAAAAACACTACTCACGTTTAAAGTTCTAGCTGATGCTACTAATCCTCGGGCAAGCAGCATCTCAGACCAGGAAAAAACTCAAGTCAGTATCATCTCATTGTCATCTATGGGTGTCTGGTATTATGCATTAGGACCCATCCCAGCAGGCATTTATTGGATTTGTAATTTAGACCCTGCTGCAGGTTCATTCATCAGATCTAATGAGTGGAACTGCTGAAAAAGCAGATGGGAGCTATGGTATGTCTGCTATCACCCTCATTCACAGTTATGTTGGCTTGAGTAACTGAGTGTCCTTACATACTACTGCAACTCAAGCCCCAACACAAAGCCTCTCAATGACACAAGAAGTTGAATGGCATGCGCTGCACACTCAGTTTAAATGTGTATGGTCAGAGACAGAAATATAGTTATTTGAGATATTAACCCCTCAAGGACACAACTTCAGAAATTAAAGGGAGTCTGAATGTTTCTGTCATGTGTCCTTAAGGGGTTAAGGGACAAACTTATAGTTAATGAGAGTACATTATCCTGGTACTTAGACTGTCTTTAATAGCTGACATATTAGGCTGTCTCTAAAAACTTGCGCAATGTGATAAATGTACATCTTATTTACTTTTACATCCCACCCCACTGTGAAGAATGGGGGAAAAAACTCCCTAATATGTTAAAAATATGGTTACTGACAATTTTCTGTTTTAGCATTTTATGGTTGGTTCCTGTCATAACGTTACATTTTGATACAGTGTTTTCTTTACTTCAATATATTTAAAAATAGTGGGAAGAAATGATCAGTGCTGGATTCTCAAGAACAACATTACAGAGTAGGTTTATTGTCTGTTACAAGGTTAGACTGAGGACTGTGTGTTTTGGCATTCATAATGGTCTCTCTGTAATGCAACTGGCAGTCTGTTTAGTATGAGTTGTCCTGACACCACTGACGTTTCCACCCCCATGCTCATTAAGACGTTTTTTTTTCCTCTCTCATTTTAAAATTGGGCTTAGATTGGAAATTAACCCTATGTAGGAAAAAACACAGAGAAAATACCACAGTAACAATGTTTTGGCCTGTAAAGCTAAACCTCTGTCTTAATTCCAATTAACATTTTCCTTCTTTTTTTTTTTTAAACGATCTCTGCTGTAAAACACCATTAATATACTGTTAGGAACATGAGCCCCATTACGTATTCCTGTTGCTGCTCTAAAATATGCAAGTCAGATTTTATCTGCTGCCAAAATCTGTTCCTGTATTACAAATTCTTCACGGAAATAATTCATTTTGCCAGTTATTCGTATTTTTTTTAAGTTGGCCCAGATTTGTTCTGTCTTGTAGCCATGTGACAAACAAAATAGCCCGTGATAGGTTCAAAGACTTTATCAAAGCAGCACTGGAAAAAAATACACAATCTGCTTAATTTCTGATTGCTGCTCACACTATATGTCAGTGATCCCTAACCCTGTCATGCCAGATGTTCATTGCATTTCCCATAATTCTCAGCATCGTCCTAATACGGTCTGATCATCATGTGAACTGCAGTATAAATGTCCGAGGTGCTCAAGAGTATCCGTCACAGCAAGCTATTGTTTGTGGTTCTGTTAAGGTGAATATTTACGTTGTGGTACTTGTTGATTCATTTCACAGATACAAATGATTGCGTGTTTAGAAAACCGGTTCTTTATTTTGCAAAGTGCATTTGAGTATCATGATAAGACTGGCAACTTCATATTTAACCAATCTGCAATAACTATTTATTTCCAATTATCAAAAAAAATGGTGATTAATTCCGCACAAGTTAACAATGTTTTTCTTTTTTCTTATTTAATTCCAGTTAAAGGATGATAACTGCTTGTAGATAAGAGCCCTTTAAAGCTGAGTGTCAAAAAAGACAAGAATTGAAGAAAAAAAAAAAACTACAATGACAACAGCTGGACTAACTGCGCAAGACGTTCAAGTACCATTAAAAAATGGATTCCTACATCACGGCCAAAGTATAATAAATTCTAAATCTTGCTGGACAAATCATGATGATTACGAAAGGTATGTTGAATTTCTACAGGATAAAAGAGCAACTAGCTTGCACAAATACATTTCACAAGGGGCATCAATGTGTGCCAAGTTCTCTTTAATGTTTGTAGAAAGCATCAAAATCTGGGAGGTAACTTGTTTGAACACACAGTTGGACAGTCCTGTCTTTCAATAAATCCTCAAAGTGGTTTTGTTAAGTTTGTGGCTTTTTTTTTTTTTTTAAATAACAATTTATTTCAATCACTTTAGTTCATATGTCAGCCCTTTACAATAGTTGATTAACGTAAAAAAAAAAATAAAAAAAATGCTATAATCCAGTTTACTTTAATTATTCCATATAGTAATTTGGACTCTTCGTGTGCCTTTAAATTATTAAGGCAAGAGTATCCTTTCAGGTTAATAGGTTTAGTCTAGTATTCAAATGTCAACTGGGTTCTAACAAACCAATGTTTTCTTGCAGTGCTTATTATGATATGGAGCCAATTTCTTTGACATACAGTTTGAAATCACCTACGCAGCATCAAATTTCATCAATTGGTAAGTTTCCTATTACTAAACATGTTTAATTTCAGTGGCCATCTTCAATAGTTAAGTATTATAATAGAATTTCTCCAGGCAAAGCCTATGTTGCGATCATTGATAGCTTTGCAACAGACAGATTTATCATATCAACTAGAGTTGCCTTTTTGTATTTAAATTGCATTTGTATTCAATTAATACTTAAGGTTATCCTAGCACAATTTGTTAACAGTTTCACTTTAAATGTTATCACTAATCATTCTGTTCTTTTTTTTGTCCATTTTAGGACATATTTCAAGGCCGATCATAATGAACGGACACTGCTGTTCAGAAAATTGCATGAAGGTTCCTTGGAAGAAATCAAATTTCCTTCATCTTGGCATACCTATCATAGAACATTCATCTACACACTATGAAGAAGACCAAGTTGTTTCTTCTTTTAAAAAACTATCAATGAACAGTGGCTCTGGTTCTGAGAAAACACCCCCTCTCACACCTGTTAAAAGTGGACCACCACAGTTTTACCCCAGTCCGAACAGTGATCGCAGTTCAAGGCCGTTGCCTCCTCTTCCGATTTCAGAAGATCATTTACTAGACGATGCAGATAGTGAAGTTGAATTCATAACAAGTTCGGACACAGACTTGCTCCTTCAAGATCCCCGAACTTCACCATTTAAATATGGGGCTCCAAGCAGACGAAGCTTTAGGGGATGTGGGCAGATCAACTACGCATATTTCGAATCAGCATCTGCAAAAAAAACAGCAGATGAAACCCCAACATGTAACCAAAATGGACGTGTACAAAGCTCAAAGCCTCAGAAACCAGAGCAACCTCATAGGAGACTAAGGCGATCGCATTCAGGACCAGCTGGATCATACAATAAAGCTACAATTCGTATAGCAAACTATGCAAATAGGACTTCCCCAAATTCTGATGAAGACAAGCCTGAAGTCCCACCAAGGATTCCCATACCCCCTAGGTCATTAAAGCCAGATTATAGAAGGTGGTCAGCAGAAGTTTCTTCTAACACCTACAGTGATGAAGACAGACCTCCAAAAGTCCCACCAAGGGAACCTCTATCAGGAAGTAACTCCCGTACACCTAGCCCGAAGAGTCTACCGTCATACCTCAATGGGGTAATGCCCCCTACTCAGAGCTTTGCTCCTGATCCTAAATATGTCAGTAGTAAAGCTTTTCAAAGACAAAATAGTGAAGGGTCATCAAACAAGGTCCCTTGTATATTACCTATTATGGAGCATGGGAAGAAAGCCAGTTCAACACATTATTATCTTCTTCCAGAGAGGCCCCCATACCTTGACAGATATGAAAAATATCTCACTGAAGCAAAAGACTCTGAGACTAAAGTACAGTCATGGTCTAGTGATGGCAGCATTTCCCCTGGTTCACCAAAACCAGATCTAACTGTTAAAGTAGATATATGTAACAATGCCAAACGCAAGCATTTATCTGATGTGGTTTCACCATAGGCCATGGAAGAATACCCATAACAGGTCACTTAATCATGTTGCTCTTCAGGATGTTACTTTAAATATGCTTTGTTTGGTTCTGAAAAAAGTCAAAGAAAATATTGAACTTTTGAGTCCTTTCATAAGACTATTTTCTTAAATGAAGCAAAAAAAATAAAATAATGAAGAGATATTGAGTCAGCAAAATGGCTCCTTTTTACGTCAAAAGCATTATATCATTAATGCCAATGTGATCGTTAAGACGGAAATCCCCAAAAGTCACTGTTGGACAATGCATTACTGTAGTTCACAGTAATAGTGCATTTGGGGATGTATACATATATGTATATACAGTATATATAAAACTGGTAAGAGTGGACTGTGAACTGCTGATACATTTGAACAGAAGGATGAAGCACCCCAAGTGGCTGGGGTTGCTGCTGCTACTTTACCTAGCTTCCCGGGGGTCTAACACAACCAGCCACCACCACCGATCCTCTGCCGGGATAAGCACTGGCAAAACCAGGGGCTGCTATTGATGAGCCCTGAACCTGCCAGAATTTGGAACTGGGAGAAATTGTCAGGGCAAGCACAAACTCTGCTCTGCAGCAGCCAATCCTAGTTACAACCCTTATAAAAGTGAGATGTTTCTAAAAAAAATTAAAATAAATTATAGTGCAGTATTTTTATAGCATTCTATTTAACTCTTTTTAAAAAAAAAAAATTTTTTTAAATGTTAAACTATTTCTAAACACGAATAGCTCAGTCCTAATAACTAATTACTAGTTTGGAGTCTTAGGGATAGAGAAAGCTTGTTTCCAGTTATGTATTCTGTGGATCACGAGTGGCTTAATCTGCATCCCTCAAGCGGTCTTTGGACTGCAATCCGATTCAAGCTCAGCTAGAGTGGCTGAGGATAATGAAAGCTTAAGTGCTGAAGCAGATGAACTGTCGGTGATATAACAGTGCCTGATATTTATGTTCTAATAAGCCACCGATGCTCTAGAATGGGAATTGGCAACCTACGGCACTCCCGATGTCATTGGACTACAACTCTCATAATGCTTTTACAGCTATAATGCTTGCAAGGAATCAGGGGAGATGTAGTCCACAACATCTGGAGTGCTGAAGTTTGCCTACCCCCACTCTCTAGGTATTGCATTGACAGCCTGTGTTGAACGATGAAAAATGTGGTTAATTCAAATTCACACTCATTTAAAGAGCACTGATAGCACTTGCACACTAGGTTCACTGGTCTGCCAACTTCTGCTTAAAAAAGAAACAGAAAAATTATATATGGTCTGAAGGAAGAGATAAATATGCTTAAAATCCAGTGTTCTTTTCTAAATCTTTTAGTGGAATTTGGGAAGGGGGAGGGGAGGGTGTTTTAAGATTGCCTGTACACTTTTTGCATTAGCCGTGCCTTCTTTTATTTTCATTCTTTTCCAGTGTGTTATTAATAGATCTGAAACACAAGCTGGCCTTGTGTTACTGTTATCTGTTCAGTATTTTTAGTTTTCTGTGTGCTTTTCTTATTTCTTTTAGCAAGACACTATACCAGTCACGGGCACACGGCAAAAGTACTTGCATTCTCAAATTCTACCAGAAATTACTGAGATATTCTGCTACTGCAGACTTATTGCCAAGGTCAATAATGGGGTTGTGTGTGCATGTTCATAGTACATCTATCTGTATGTGTGTAAAAATAGAACTGTACGTATGGATGACTGGATACAAGTAAACTGACCAATTTAAATGTTTTCCTAACTATTTTGGTGCCAAAATTTGTGCAATTTATAAGGGTACCTATTTTTTGTGTGGATGTTATTAAATATGCATATGTCAGTCTGTATCTAATTTAAAAAATGCAACCATGAAGTATGCATTTAATTAAACTGCCCATTAATTATTAGACTATCTGGTCCCCAATTTCCTGCTGATAGTGTGTGTGTGTGTGTGTCTATATCCAAACATAAATCTGTTGACTTTGTCAACATTTTGTCAATATTTGATTTGTCAACATTTTGCCCCAGTGACTTTTTTTATGTGTTTTAGTTGTGGCACTATTTCATTTGACTCAGATTTGAGATCCTCCCCTTTAAGGACAAACATATATGGAATACATATAATCCTTAAGGTTAAATTACTGTTATTTTCTTAACTTGACACTAGTTTTGCAATTCAGAGATTTCGGATTGGGATGATTAAAGAGAGTGATATCAGGAGTCCTATAAAAATCTTACATCTCAAATAATGTAATTCATCTCATCTATTTGGGTAGCAAATGTCGAGGTTAACCATTTGAGTGCTGGGTAGAAGCAAGCAAAACTTTGCAAAAGAAATGCATTGCTTCCATCAGCAGCACTTGAAAAAGTTACAGACTTCATTGTTTTGTTAACTTAATTTAACAATGATTGTGCCTTTTTTTGGGGGGTGGGAGAGGGTTGCGACCTGTCTTGTAGGCTGCTTTTCAATTTTAGATCCATTGGGAAGAAATTGGTATGATTAAGCAAGTTTTCTATGTTCTGTTTTTTTTCTCATCTCAGTCTCTATAAATGTTGTAACTCTTATCAGAGAAGGTGCTGCTGCTTAACTTTTTCACTGCCAGAGCGAGACAGCCAGCTTTCCGTGAGGGGTCTGCTCTGGCACCCGAAGGGTTAAAACAGGTACAATATTGTATTTGTCTCTTCGTAAATCCGGTGATACACAATGCTGTTTACAGTATGAAACTGGTGTGTATGATGTAAAAATAACTATTTAAGTTACTGTTTGTTCTGTTTTTTTATTTTGTTTATTTTTTCTAATACAAAAAACTAAATGAAGGTATAAATATTATGCTAGCATAAATGCACTGATATTAATGCATATGTACAGTATTTGACAGAGAATCAGTTTGTTGTTGTTGTCTTTTTGAAAATTAATAAAACTATAATATTTATGACACATTTAATTCAGACTTCCTCTCTTCATTTGCATTTTCTTTTTAAATGGGGCTAAAGCACAGAATTGCGGATATTCGCTTAACCTCTTGATTTGGCATTGTACAGTAAAAGGAAACATAAATAATTTTTATATAGGGGTGAATGACTTTATGGCACTGAGCACTTATTTCACAAGTGACAGAGCAAGATTCATAGTGAATGAAGACAAAGATCCCCTACTCCATTGATTAATTTTGCAACATTTTGTTTATAATGCCCATGGTGCAAGTTATTTGCAAAAAAAAAAAAAAATTACAATCAGAATTTATTTTTCAGAACACAGAAAAGTAATGTGAGTGAATGTTTTTGTTAGTCTGCATAAATTGCACATTAATGACGAGATTCTGACCCATATTTAATTATAATTGACCGATTGGGGGGTGGGGGGGTAGGGTGGACCTCTAATGAGTTACAGAATAAGGGCATTATAAGCAGGAGTAAAAAATATAACTCCTTTGCAAACTAATAGAATCATAAGAAAAGTGCAAGCAAAGTTTTGGGATATGATTGCACAGCATATTTTTCATCCCATACATACACAATATTAGCAGTAGGGGGGTTAATCATTAATGTACTGGCAGTTAGTATTAAAGCACTTTTTTATAGGCAGGGACAGCACTGTATTAAATACACATTTCAGATTTCTTTACATAGGGGCTTGGATTTAAGTGTCACAGACTTCTGCCATGCAACATCAGTGTGAATGATTCCCCGGAACAAATTGTTCCAGGACACATGAGATGTGGATCTCGTGTTAAAAATAAAGTCTAGGTCATACTAATTATACAGGTATCTTATTATTGTAAGCAACGTGGACTCGCTGTGAAAAGCCTCCACCTATATTTTGTTTTAAACGAGTGGATACCTAATTTTGCCACTGTAGATGCTCACAAAATATCTTTTTACCCACAATGCTGAGCAAGCATGGAGGACCACGTCAGTATTGAGCAGACACCAGCACCCTCTCCCAACCACCAACAACTTCTGTTTTAATTAATTATAAAGATAATGTTTGAAATGTTTTAAAATATTTATAATAAATGCGTCTAAAGGTCTCTCATCTACTGCTAACCTAGAGAACTTGCAGAACAGGAAGTCACTGTGATTCCTTGGCCAATCCTGGTCCCCAGTTCTTGTGCACGCATCATTGCTCTCCCTGCAGTATAAAAGCAGAATGAGATTAGGCCGAGCACAACACTACATGGAAATAGGGCATATTATTACATGGTGTAACCCATTTATTTAATTAGGTTGCTTTTCTTCATGATATAATTATGGCAGAACATGCTGTAATATTATAACAGAATAATCCATCTGAGTTATACCTCAGTCTGCAAAGCGGTTTAGCTACTCGTGGTTAAACTGTATTGACTTGATTATGAAAGGTTTGATAGTAATGTTGGATAGAGGTGGTAGTTGTAGGGTGCAAAGAAGAGGATAGTCCAGATATGTAGGAAAGTGGCCAGGTCTGCACACTTTTTTTAATGTAATATTCACAAGCAAGGAAAATACTGCAAGACTGTCTTCTGATTCTACTGGTCCATGGTTGGTGCTTGGAATGTTCAAAGACCAGTCTCGACTTTGCTAAGTGGGAAGCCTCGATTGCAATTTACTATGATCTGACATGCCAACAAGTAATATAGACTGAAAAAAGACTAAAATCCATCAGGTTCAACCTTGAAAGCCATTCTATTATGCTGTTGATCCAAAAGAAGGCAAAAAATCAAAACAAAGCCATTTCAAATTGTGCCACAAAGGCAAATTATTCCTTCTAGACTCCATAATGACAATCAGATTTCTCCATGGCTCAACAACCTGTTCTCATTCATATTAGTTATATCTTTGAATATACTGTTTTTGCAAAAAAGCATCCAGGCCATTTTAAAAATAACTATAGATACTGATATAACACATATAGTAATGTTATTTTGACTGTTAAGTCACAATTTTATAATTCTTCTGAATGACTCCATACCCACTTCTACATAATTGGTTTTAAGGACATACACCTAATATAATTTCTTCTACGTTTTAATGTGATTTCCTGATCTGTTTTAAACAAACAAGCCTTCATGCAATAAAATGTCACCAGCCATACTGTCAATTAATGTAATACTTAAATACCTAAACTTAAAATTTTACATAATTTTAAATTACCACAAGTAAACAGTACGTTAACATTCCAAAACATTCTATAACAGTTTTGAATTCCTAAGCCGCTTCCTCGAGGATCTATCCAATACATGCCAGAGACCATCACTACTTTAGTTAAGCTTAATGCAGGATTTTTTCCCCAAAGGATAATAAACATATTTACTTTACTCTCATCATTAAATCAGGATCCCATGGACCGTTTAAGAGAAAAAAAGCAATAGTCAGGAATCCATGGTGCTAGTTTCATGATCTACATTAGTGATGACCAAAAGATGCATCAGATATGTTAAGAACTGCAATTTGCATGATGATAGTCCATTAGTAGTGTGTCTTGAACCAAACATGACAATTTGCACTTACTATCTTTCAATTACTTTTTGAATAAAGTGTATTCTATATAACCACTACAACCGTCAACAATAAAGCTTGCAAAGGTGTAAAGAAACCTTCAATAATGCTATTCACAAAAGTATAATTGGTTTTTTTTTTGGGGTGGGGAGGAGACATATTCAAAGTAAATTTAAAAATTTAGGCCATAATAGTTCAATTGCAAAAATCCTCCATATTGGAGGATTACATTTTCCGTTCCCTATTTTGACATAAAAAATGTAAATTCGGGTGGGATCTGAACGCTTAACTGAGTGGTCGCACACAGTTGGAGCTCCGCACAACTTTTTGTTGTAAACTTACCTTGTCGACCCTCCATCCGCACTTATTCAGCCGGTAATACTCCACTACTCATGGGAACAACATTTCCTACTAGCATACCGGCCCACCTGTGGTAGAAGCTGCGGTGGTGCGCCTGCAGCCTACCTGGCGGTCGGAAACTGCAGAAGAAGCCAACATCGCAGTCTCTGACCATCCTAGAGCTGGACCTTTGGCGGCTAGATGCACCGTTCCCTCCCACTACCGTTGAGGAATATCCCAGCTCCCACAACGACAGACACCCCTGAGCCAAATACCTATGCTGGTTCCTGCTCATTGCAGCAGTGAGAGCACATCTAAGATGGCTGACTCAATGGGTACGCTAGCAGGCACTACGGAACAACGTCCACGGGCTCATCTTAACCCAGTGGACCGATTCTTGCTGCGACTTGATGAAGCTTTTTCATGTTTCTGGGCAGAACTATAAATGGCGAATACCTTGAGACAACCCCAAGCAAGAGATGGGAAGGGTGAGCACGAGGGAGAGAGCGAGCCTCCTTCGTGTATAGCCTCTCAAGCTACTCCCGACACCAATGATGTAAGCCCACCTGGGCCGAAAGCCACAAGGGGGCTAGTCCCCACACATCTACAGCACAGACGGAGGGCAACCCACTGCTGGTGGCGCTAGAGCAACACTGCCTCCTCTTTCCCCCGTTGGGAGAAGGTCTGGGACTTTTGGAGCTTCCAAGACCGCAGCTTGAAGATGCAGGCTTTATCAAGGGCCTGGGGCTGGAGGGATGCTTCCCCTCACTCCCACCGTTCTGATACCCCCATTGACCACAGAGTGAGAATAGTACAGACCTTATGCATGGGAATCGGCTGACTGCTGACAAGTACCTCAATGCTGCTCCGTAATAGGCACTGTGAGCCACACTGACTCCTGCATAGGCCAACTTGCCGTGGTGGGACTTCCTCAAGCCTGTGTGATGAAGCAGCTAAATGTTTAAAACAGTATTTACACACTCTTGCCTAAAGTTACTCCTAATGTCTATTTAGATTGATGTTACATTTAACCTATGTCTGGAGACGTTTTGTACTCTAATTAATCTACCGATTCTTCAGCATGCATACACTCCCTTTGAGACCACAAGAGATCAACAGCACTAGGCCTACTCAGCTTGTTTTCAGCTCATACTGTTTCCTGACTAGCAAAAAAGCATGATATACTATATTTTCTTACTACGTTTTACTTAACTCCTACCTAGCATATACCATGCTTCATGAACTACCTTACTTTTCTTTAAAGGGACACTCCGGGCACCTAGACCACTTCTGCCCATTGGTGTTATAAAAGTGTGTTTTACAACGCTGAACGTCCTCACGCTTTGTGAGGACCTCCAGGGTTGCAGAAATCCCCATAGGAAAGCATTGAAAGCATTATTTAATGCTTTCCTATAGCGAGGTATAATGCGCGTGCGCAACATTGCCATGCATGTGCATTAGGTCTCCCCCACCGCCGGCCGCGCATGCACAATAGGTCTCCCCTGCCAGCTGACGTCGGCGGGGGAGGAGCATAGGTGGAGCCTGACATCGGCGCTGGACTCCGGTAAGTCACTGAAGGGGTTTTAACCCCTTCAGCAACTTGGGATGGGGGGTGGGAGGTAGAGGGGCACTAGAGGGTCCTGCAGTGCCAAGAAAACGGATATGTTTTCCTGGCACTGGAGAGTCCCTTTAAGCTTGTACTCTCTCAGATCTTCTGTTTAGATCTATAGTTCAGCCTGCTTATTATACCCATAAAAATGTGCAATATTCTCCTATGCCATGACTCTATATCTCAATGTATGTCCATCATATGCTTGTTACTGCCATTGTAACATCTCAAGCTTGCATGTCAGTCTTTGCACAATAAAAATAAAGAATATATAAAAAAAAAAGAAATAAAATGTAAATTCACTGGGCCTTCACAATACTTCACTAAAGTCTAAATTGTATATAATTAAAATATGAATCACAAAACTGAGTTGTGATTACAGTCAACTATTTTCCCCTCAATTTTTTAAGGTTTGGTACAAATTTGGAGTTTAGCGAAGAACTCTTGTGGATCATATGTTGTACGGGTCTAATAAGAAAGATGTGTAGGCATAATCTTTACACTTTACAATATATTCTCACCAATAAAAGTGGCATATGTTGCAGTCAAAGGTTTGGAGTGACATTTATTTACATGGAGTATATATATATTTTATAAATACACACCTAAGACACTCATCTCCTAATGCTTATGCAAAAAAAAAAAAAATCTAGGCTAATTTTGTCATCACAATCATACACTTACGGGTGTGGGTATTTAATGAGATTACACCAGAATGGGTGTTAACATATTTTTAGGAATACTGAATACCTCCCTGACATGGTGCAATCCTGTAAGCGCACACACCCCACCTGATCTTATTACTAAGCACTGCTTTATAAAGCTGTTATAGTTTGTAAAAACAATACCATTGTGTATATTTAAATGTTACTTAATTACTGGTCTTACCTTTCATTCCAATTGTAAAAGTTATGAACGAACTCAACACTGTAGATGTTTCATTCAGGTTGTTGAGAGGAAATATACCTATATATATATAGGTGATTTATATATATATATACAACATTGATGTTTTTTAATACAACACGTTTGATGAGTGCTGTCATTTTTCCTATCATATATATATATATATTCATGAATATCATTTTCAGATCTTTGATTGGTTTGACTAAAATCTGGACTCACCCTGCATTTAAATTCCTTCACCATTGCTACTGCTGAGATAATGAGGAGTTCCATTTTCCCACTATCCATAAAATTTTGATGGTGATCTTACACTAAATTCACTAAATTCTGAGAATTGTCAGGAATTCAAAGCAAATTTCAAATTTAAGGTCAAAGTAGCCGAACTAGAAGCATGGCTGACTGGAAGAATTTTTCCAATTCAGTTACTTTGGCCTTAAATGTAAAATTCACTTTGAAGTAACCTTGTCCGGCTGCAAGTGCTGGTCCGAGCAACCACCGGTGCTCATTACCTATCATTGCCAGTCCAAATTGTAATTCCTGTAATGAGAAAGTGAAATTCTCTTCAGTAGAAGGGCTGGGCTTGTGATGCCAATGAGGATGCCAATGAGTTTTTACCAAAACTGGAGCGGCTGGATCCAAATACTCTATGCCCTACACAATAAGTTATAAAAGCATGACTCCCAACTGTCCTTCATTTGGTCAGTCAGTCCTGATTTTGGGATCCTCTCCCACCATCGTAGGTTTGTTCTCTGCTAGTATCCGGCATCTGTGGACACCAGAGACCAAGTCCCCAGATACCACGTCACAATTCCCCTGTGCAAATTACACTCAAAGCACATGGGCAGCTCTCAATGGGACCCATGTTTTGGTAAGTACACACATGCCCGTTTCTGGTCCATACCGTCTTGTATTCATAACATCTAATGTTGGGCGGTGTATAGTAGTCATAGTGATTAGTGTGTCCCTTTAATCTGCTGATGTAACAAGTAACACAGTAGGTGCTTATTATCTTATTTTGGGAAGTAACTAAAGTAAAGCTTGTAGATTGTGCAATTTACATATATGCGAAACAAGAAAACCGACTGCTAATTTGAATCAAAAGATATAAAATAATTCCCAATACAACAGCAAATATTGATCACCTATGCAGTTATCATCCTAAATCTAGCATATCAGTCAGCACTCACGGTTTTATGAACGATGGGATTTTTCATTAAACCAGGCATTAAGTAAAAACGAAGAAGTGAAACGCAAATTTTAGGGTAAAATAGCAGAATTAGAAAAAAAAAATCAAACTTTATTATTTTCAATTTATTTCTCAATTCAAATATGTTATTTCCGATTCCTCATTTCTCTGGGAAATGTTTCTGTTTCACAATAAGTGCTATTGACGGTCACTTTCCTAATCAGCAGAGAGGAATGTGTCAAGTCCCAGCACACAACACCAGTTGCACGAGCCAGGAAAACTAAAATACGAGTGATAGTCACTCACAACGCCTGCAAATCAGGCCAACAGCTCATTTGGCCTATTGCAGGGGTCCTCAAACTCCGCCCCCCCCCCAGATGTTGCTGAATTACAACCCCATGATTCTTTGAATTACATAGATAGCCAGAGAATCATGGGAGTTGTAGTTCAGCAACATCTGTGGGGGCCGGAGTTTGAGGACCCCTGGCCTATTGCATTGACAGAAGGCTGAAGGACTCATATAATTTTTTATTTATTTTTATTTTTTTATTTCACTAGTGTTTTAATATACAACTTCAATAAACCTGTAATGACAAAACTATGGCAGCTTTGACATTACAGGTAATCAGAAGCCATCAAGGGGGCACTCATTTATCTGAGACATTTCTCAGCTAAACCAATTATAGATAAGGTCATATAGACGTTAGTTCTGTTCACAAAGCCTAGTCTAGTGCATTGGTTATTGCTTTCAATGTGTTTAGTAATCCTGTGGGCTTTAGTTTATAGAGTTATGTCTCTTCACTGAGTCTGGTTGTTTATCTAATGAGTCACATCCGTTAAAGGAACAACCCAAGTACCATAACAACTAAAGCCTTTCGTAGTGATTATGCTGCCAGAAGTGTCCAGGCGCTGTTCAACGGTAAGTAGTCAAACCATTTGCAATCAGTTTGACAACTTATCTGGGGTCTGCCGAATGCCTGTCATCTTCAACTTTGGAGCCAAAAGCTCCTGCAAGGCTCCCGTTACCTCCACTAAGCCCTGCGGTGCTGCGTCAGCTCATTAGCAGAGAGCATCACCTAAGCGTCCTCAGCCGTAAATTGAGCCCTGTAGCACCGGAGGCTCAAGAGGAGGTGCCTGGCGGATGTCAGCAAATTTGTCAAACCATTCATAAACGGTTTGAGTACTTACCCTAGAAGGATGCCAGGGCATTTCTGGCACCAGACCAATGCAGCTCACTTGGAGCGTTTCTTTAAGTTAACATAGTGCTTTATGTAATGAGATAGATCGGCTCATTTAGACCATTACCTTGTCAGATAAAGTAGATCTCTTCAGTAAGATTGCTGCTTTATTAATGAGTTGGGTCAGTTAACTAAGCCAGTTGCTTTTGCTAATGAGATAGGGTTTCCCACTACTAATTTTTTTGTTCTTGCAAATTTCAGGAGGGATAGAAGGGAAGGAAAGGAAAGGGAAAGACACAGTTCTGCTGACCCTACTTGGGAGTTCTAGGCCAATGCTACTACTGAAACATCAGCAGGAGGCTAGCAAGCAGGCCACATATCTCTTCCCCCCAAGGGAAGACCAATCAGGTACCTGACCTGCTGCCGGTCGTTACCAGAGTTAGTCGGGCAGTCTTCCCAACAACTAGTAGCTGACCTGGTGACCTCCGGTGCCCGACTCTGTCCTATATGTCCAAGGCTGTTGAGTGGGCGTCCATCACCCCCAGTCTCTCTTGTACTTCCATGCATGGAGTTGTGGGTACTTGGTGGGCAGAGACCAGCAGAGCTCTGCCCCATAGCCAGCATTGCAGCTGGGTAGGTCAGTGGGTTGTCAGGTCCCAGAACAAATGGACTGGTAGGGCAGAGGCCAGTGCTGCTCTGTCCTGTAGGCATCACTTCTGCTGTAGGAGCCTGCTGGGTGTCAGGCTCAACAATAGGGGGACAGCTGCAATCTGCCCTGGAGCCAGCTCTTATGCTAGGATGGGGTTAGTGAAGACTGCCGTCCCACCCACTATATCCAGAGCTGGGGTTGGCATCTGTCCATGGGCGTCTGCAGGAATTTTTCCAGGGGGGGGCATAATTGTAATGACATCCATGCTTGGTCCCTTTTGACAGTATCATGAAAGGAGAGGAGCATAGTCATTATTACATAAAGCCAGGGTGAATAGCGTTTTCCCAACTATGGTGTCAGGAATACATGTTTGTATTCCTGACACTATAGTGTTCCTTTAAGCAAATTAAAGGAACATTCTGGCCCCATAACAACTTCATCTAAATGAAAATGCTATTATGCCAGGAAGCTCCTGGGTGCTCTCTTTCCTTTAAGGGGGTTAAACCGCTCTCAAATGGTTTAACCCCAAAGGCTTCCTCCAGCTCCAGATTTCTAGGTCGTTCAGTGGTATTCGGCTTCTGTAACGGAGTGTCAGGAAGTGCAGATTGACGTCAGGCATGGGTGCTACAGATTGGCTAGATTGGTCAGTTGATGCTCTAAGCCAATCACTAGTTCCTGGTTCATAAATTTTTTTTACTTTTTTATGAATGGGAAGCTACTGATTGGCTTAGAGTGCCAGCTGACCACTCTAGCCAATCAGCGACACCCCTCCCCAGCGGCACTCTGTGCTTCCTGACACTCAGTAAATAAAAGTGAACACATTAACACTGATATTTATTTTTTACCTGGGGAGATGAGAAAGTCCAGAGTTTCCCTGCCAGGCCCAGGTACCAAAGCCTTATGATGTGGTGTCCAGAATAAAGTGGAGGGTTCACTTAATTTGTCCTTCCTGCTCCAATCTCCTTTTCTTCTCCTTCATTTGAAACAGTCTTCTTTTTCTTCTGACACTGTCTTCTCTCCTCCTTGGCTCCTTCTGCTCCTTTACCTTTTTGCTACTTTGCAGACTCCTTGCAGACCCTTCCTTTTCCTTGTTGACCCTTCCTGCTCCTTGCAGACCCTTCCTGATCATTTGTGTTCCTTTGTGCTCCTTCTCTTACTTTACCTTCCTGCTCCTTGCTGACATTTCCTGTAGGCTATCTCTGCCCCCCATATGCCTCACTTCCCTGATCTGTAGGCTATCTCTGCCCCCCATATGCCTCACTTCCCTGATCTGTAGGCTATCTCTGCCCCCCATATGCCTAACTTCCCTGATCTGTAGGCTATCTCTGCCCCCCATATGCCTCACTTCCCTGATCTGTAGGCTATCTTTCCCTCCCCCATGGCTCACTTCCCTGATCTGTAGGCTATCTCTGGCCCCCATATGCCTCACTTCCCTGATCTGTAGGCTATCTCGCCCCCCATATGCCTAACTTCCCTGATCTGCAGGCTGTCTCTGCCCCCCATATGCCTAACTTCCCTGATCTGCAGGCTGTCTCTGCCCCCCATATGCCTAACTTCCCTGATCTGCAGGCTGTCTCTGCCCCCCATATGCCTAACTTCCCTGATCTGCAGGCTATCTCTGCCCCCCCATGCCTCACTTCCCTGATCTGTAGGCTCTCTCTGTTGCCTGCATGTGTTGCTCCCCTGCGGATTCAGTCAGAGAGAAACAGGGATAAGATGCAGCTTCCTATCCCTGTCTCTCTCCTACTGGCCGGCGCCGGTATTGCACTGTATTTTCAATCACATGAAAATTAGCAGAACAAGCTGAAAAATGCAGGGGGGTGGGGGAGGGGGGCAAGTGCCCCCCCTGTGGACACCCATAACTACATGGCCATTGAACCCCAATCACTTTATTCAGTAGTCCTTTTAGGGAGCAACAAGGAAAAAAAGGGCATTAAAGGGAATTACACAAAGAGGAAAACACACGGTAATGAAAATAACAGAAGGGGAGCTCTCTATTAATGTAATGGAGAGGAAAATAGTAAAACAATAGAGATTGAAACACAAATTATAGACTGGGTAACATGAAATATTGTACAGGATAAACCAAAATGGTTTGTACAAACAAAGTCAGACAGAGGTCAAAGTAATTGACAATGTAGTAGTCTAAATAGCAGCCAGTTTCAATGCTATATTTTCATAAAATTTATAACAGAGGCCTTCATACCACAATAAGAGAATTAGTTCAGTCTTCTAAATCAGGGACAATATGTAATGGATCAGTATAATGGTTACTACTATTTAATGGGGAATTGTCAGCCAATTTCTTTATTTTTTATTTTTTTTAGCAGAGCTGCAGCAAAAAAGATTACAAATACTAAGTGTTTTAGAGGCACTTAACATAACTTATTATTTAGGATATGTTTGCCCTTTAATGTGATTGCAGACAAAATGGAGAGCGTCATTGCTCATTGTACTCTGAGTGCCGTTTCAGCTCTTTTAAGTCCTATTATTCACAACTCTTTATTACATCCATGAGCAGTTAAATAAGTTACTGTGAGTTCCTGGCAGGAGTCCATTGACAAGTATCTTTACCTTTCACAAACGCCATATAATCAGTTTACAAGTGGGCGTTCTAATTTAAACATGGAAGATATACAAGGCTAAAAATGTCTCTCGCTGTAGGATTACTGGTACAGCCCTCCCAACAGATCTTTCTTTTCTGTAAATCTTTATCACTCTGTGTTAAATAAGTTGAGCTTGTCTTTTCCGGTAAGCCTTTACAATGCACGCCATCTCCTTATACAAAGGGACTTGCACGCCATGTATTTATATATTTACATGTATTTTAATATGTGCATTGTTGAAATGAGGCATTACGATACTGACATTTCTGGAATTAACATTTTTATATAACATAATTCCCACATTTATACCATTTATACCAATCTATAAATGAATAATTTCTATTGAGTGGTATAACAGACACATTTTCTCTTGATTAGTACCTATTGCAATATGAACTTATTCAACCACTGGGCATAGGTGCTAGAGTAGAACTATCTGCATTCTTTCACTAGAGAATGTTTATATTCTGATAAACAGCTACTCAAAAATGTATTAGCCTCATCCAAAGGACATGGGTAAGAGGAAGTAGGTTAGGGGACAGTGGTAGGTCCTCCTTTATTTTATTTCTATTTGTCATAATATGTTAAGGTCACTGTCTCTTTAATCAACTTCCTTCTGAAGCGGAGCTAGCTAAAGTTTCCACGCTCCATTATTATGTCTGGTTTCTGATTCCTCATAATTCCACTTCCTACAGCCCCTGCATTACCTATAACCTCTTCTCCTGTTAACATTTGTAAAACTGTTTTTTTTTAGTTGCTGTTCTATCTCCACTAAAAATCGCTTCAGAATTTGTTGGCTCTGTATATGACAAATAGAAAGGCGGAGCCTGAAATTGTGGGAGGGGTAAACTCAGGCCCCCTCCAGTACAGGACTGTAACCGCTGGGTTCATTCAGAACCTTTTGACTTCCGGTTCAACTCACCAGGACATCGCTCCCAGATGGTCTTGCTACAGTCCAAGTTCTTCCTGCTCCGGCCCACAGCCTCATACTGTGGCAGACCTCCGTACCTTACCCCTCTCGGGGCTTCTCCTCCCGGTGGCCGTGCTCGGCTTCTGGTGCTCCAGATCTCCGGCTTGCCAGACTCATTGCAGCACCAACTCCCATCCTGCCCAGCCATCCTCACTACTGTGTTCGTGCCTCACCGAATTCATACCTCCACGATGCTTCCGTGTTCTGCTTCAGGGTCACGAACCGGGTCCTATTCACACCACATTCAGCCAGACGCGTGACGTTCGTTCATACGAACAGATTCATTCACAAACTTTCATTCATACTTACCTTTCAGTTCCGTGTTGCACATAGCAGTCAATTGCCAGCCCGACCCCTGCCCTCTAGCGGCAGATATTATTATGACACCATTAATATATCACTGTTACTTGTTACAAGATACATTCACTTAATTCTGGCTAATTACATCTACTCATCCCTAATGTCTACTACCCCATTAATAACTACTTACGTTACAAATGTTCAATTATTATCTCATATTTGTGGAGTGGTGCATGCGTCCTACCTAGTCATTCTCTTTAACGTGTCACGTCGGTTTTATTTCCTGTCACTCATACGTTATGTACTATTCTATGCTTAACTCTTGCGAAGCATATTACGGTAGTATCACAATATCTTATACTGTGTAATCATTTATACGTTGGTTTACAAACTTTCAGCCTGTATTGTTCCCCTTCACGGTAGTGGCAACTCGCCTAACTCCTAAAGTGTTGAGTTGTTTTCTTATACTCATGGTACATATTGTCATTTATCATGCATGATCCAAGAACGCTGCTCCTTATGTATCAACTTACAACCTGCTTAAAAAAATACAATTCCCTTATATTCACACATAGGCTGACGTTTCTAGTACTAATTTTGCAGTTACTAGCCCACAAGTTGGGACATCTGGACTACCCACTTATTATGTAGTAACACAATTCTCACCAATTTTATCTATATCTCTACCACACATAACAACACTTGTAACAACCTCCCCGACAAGCCTTTCACATCCCGGGAACATTCAATTTCCCCACGCTCCTTTTTCATACAACCACTTAAGTTCGTAAGACCAAATGGTCACTCCTTTTGTCTATTCACACTCATAGGTCACAGTCTCCATATACAAATCACCCCAACTTCAGAGGAACTCAAAGATCCTTAATCTACTCATTTGTACAGGTATATATTTAGTTTTTCCCTATGTCCTTCTAACATATTATTATTATGGCAAGAGTGTAACTCTTACTTATCCTCAGGTAGCCTACTTCTAGAACATATGCAGGAGTATCTGTCCCCATTGTTTTACAGGTGAGTTTTTCCACTCACAGTATGATAGCCCCCCACCCCTCACCCCCTCAAGTCCAGATTCTTCATTACTCTCCCTACATTATTTTTCTTAGGATACCTGGTATTTCGTCCTTCCGATACGGAAACCGCTTGCTACCACAATTTAGATATGTGCCAATCACCTGGTGCCTTTCTCTGATAGGGTTAAGTCAACTGGCTGTTGTTTTCTACTACATCCATAGTTAGCTGTAACTTAATCAATTCCCATCAGGCCAACACCCATCCTCACACGGAGGTATTCGCCCCTCAGCTCAACGCATAGCTAGCGCCTCACATCAAGCGCTTCTGGTTACCGTCAGGGCCTTACCTCCACGTCCATTGATATTGTCTCTTATACCGTCACCGAGAGGCCAACATTTCCGCCACATCGTTCAGTGGCCCCGCCCACTTGGCCCTTATCATAGGTAGAGCCTCTCTTAGCAGGGCCTCATAGACCATAAACTGACCCCCCACACACAGACTGAACCCCCCAAACACACACAGACAGACTCAGCTTCCCACACACACAGACTGACACACCCCACAAACACACAGACTGACCCATACACACACACACACAGACTAATCCACCCCATACACACACATACTGACCCCCACACACACATACTGACCCCCCACACACACAGATTGACCTCCACACACAGACTGACCCCCAACACACAGACTGACCCATACACACACACAGACGGACCCATATACACAAACTGACCCATACACACACAGACTGAACCCCCCAAACACACACAGACAGACTCAGCCTCCCACACACACAGACTGACACACCCCACAAACACACAGACTCACCCATACACACACACACAGACTGATCCACCCCCACACACACATACTGACCCCCACACACACAGACCCCAGCCCCCCACACACATGAGCCCCACACACACACAGACTGACCCCCACACACAGACTGACCCCGCACAGACTGATCCCCCACACACAGACTGACCCATGCACACACACAGACTGACCCCCACAGAGACTGACCCCAACACACAGACTGACCCCCCACACACAGACTGACCCATACACACACACAGACTGACCCATATACACAAACTGACCCACCCCACACAGAGTGACCCACCCCACACAGACAGACTGAGGCCCCCTCACACACTGACTGACCCATACACACAGACTGACCCTCCTCACCCCCACACACACAGAGACTGAATCACACACACTGACTCCCACTTATCAGCAACTGTGTGGATGCCTCTGTGCAGAGCTGAGCTTGCTCTCCCTGTCTCTCCCCTGCGTGGCTCTCTTTGACCCAGGATGAAGTCCTCCCAGCACAGTGCCCCCTCTGGCCGTTCGTGGGAAAAGGGTAGAGCAAGCTGCTGTAGCTTGTCAAGGAAGACTCGATGCTCCCAACTTCAATTTCAATTGGGGGGCACAAGGGAGGGCACTGCATGAAGTAGGGGGGGCCATGGCCCCATTTGCCCCCTCCCACCCCAGTGACACCCCTGCACTCATTCACTAGAATACACAGTGTCGTTTATCTCATTTGCCACTTCAAATTAAAATTCCCTCTTAATACCATCAAGCTCTACCGACTGGCAACCAACATCACATCCTAAGTACATTTCCTAGCACAAGCCCGTTTATGTCTTTTTACCTGGTCACAACGTCCCTGCTCATATCATCAAAGATTAGGTCGCCGGAAATCCGCTACCTATGCCAGATATATTCCTCAGCCAAAGCAGGAATTAAGGCTTGCATTTAAAGAATTACCATTGTAATGTGTATGAAGTAAAGTATATATATTACAACTTTTTGCCCTTTTTTATTACAGACCTACCTGATACGTCGGTTTCGGCATAGACTGGTAAAATTTTGTAAGATTTATAGTACATTATTGCTGCTCAAGCAATGCTCTATGCATGATTATATTATATATTTCTTTAATCCATCCAGCTGCAAAGTAAGGATTTGGTAAATCATCAAATATCATACTATTCTTCCCATGCCCTGATCTACTCCATCCGTTTTTGACACTGACATTTATTTGCACATCCTTTTGGTTGATAATTACTTTCACTTGCTTTATTTAGAACTGACATTTATTTGCACTTGTTTAAAGGCCTTTTTTTTTTTATTGAATGTGACCTTCAGTAAAAGGAAATGGCACCTGCAATAAAACTTTCATTATAGCAGATGTTACAAATATCTACAATAGATTTCGAGAAAGTCAGGTTTACTTTTGTCATAAATCTGGTTTCCTTTATTGTGTTTACATTTTGTTATTTTAACAATTACTGTACTAATCCAATATTCTACTGGGAATTCCATATATTTTGTTGGTTGCCCCACTGTGTATTTAGTTGGTTAAGAGCAGAGATGTACCTAGGGTTGTTGGCATCTGGAGATGATGTGTCCATTGGCGTTTTGCCCACAGCATTTTTAAAGGGATACAATAGTCACCAGAGCCACTACATCTTAATGCTCTTCATAGAAGAGGCAGTGTTTACATTGCTGCATAGTAACACCTCTAGGTGCAATCACTCAGACAGTTACTAGAGGTACTTCCTGGGTCAGTTCTGCACAATGTGCAGCACCTATGTTCAGTGTCTCCACATTCTGCATGGAGATGCTAAACGTTCCTCATAGAGATAAATTGATCCAATGCATCTCTATGAGGAGATGCAAATTGATGCAGTGTGATTTTTACTTCAATCTGAGGAGGGCTGTAAACCTAAACAGCCACTCCAGTACAATAAGGTTAGGAATACATGTTTGTATTCCATAGTGTTTCTTTAAATTTGAAGGTGACACTCCAAGAACCATAGCTACAAGCTTTACAAAAACCTCATGTTTCCCACATACCCAGAGCACACCCTTACTGCTTGGGATTACAGAATGAGGTTAGAAGTTACTCATTATCCACCCCAAATATTTCTATAGAGTAAAGCAGATTTTGACTGCACGGAATTGGTGCAGCCCTTCTGCTAACCATTGTTTTCTGTGCTCCCTTTTTTGTCTTGTGTGTCTGTGTATGAATGCAGATATATTGTATGTAGCCTGTGAGAATGTACATGTGTATTCCAGTGCTGCAAGTGTGTACTTCCTTGTATCTACAGATCAGTCCTGCACCTTTGCACCAAGCCAATTTAGCAATTTACCTCTTTCATATTAAAAGAGCACTATAGGGTCAGGAACACAAACATGTATTCCTGACCCAATAGGGTTAAAACCACCATCTAACCCCCTGGTCCCCTCATCCCTCCCTAAATATAGACATCTTACTTGTTTTCAAGTCTGGAGCTGCTGCATTGTCACTGTTTCCTTTAGACCTGCCCACTGCCTGCTGACATCATTAGAAGTGGTAGCCTGATCCAATCACAATGCTTCCCCATAGGATTGGCTGAGACTGACAAAGAGGCAGATCAGGGGCAGAGCCAGCATGATTCAAACATCAGCATCTCCTCATAGAGATGAATTGAATCAATGAATCTCTATGAGGAAAGTTCAGTGTCTGATGAGAGGAAAGAGAAACTGAATGTTTGGATGCATTTTAGGCAGGCATGACCCAGGAATGATCTCTAAAAGCCATATGAGGAGTGGCCAGTGGAATTATCACTAGGCTGTAATGTAAACACTTCATTTTCTCTGAAAAGACAGTGTTTACAGCAAAAAGCCTGAAGGTAATGATTCTACTCACCAGAACAAATTCAATTAGCTGTAGTTGTTCTGGTGACTATAGTGTCCCATTAAGTGCACACTTATTATATATCATTTTATTCAGGGGAAACAGGGATTTCATTTAACATTAAATATTTAGCTATGAAACATAATTTAATATGAATACAATATTTAAAAAATTGGAGAAAATAATATATCTTTTTAGTTTTACGTGACATTTTAACT